GGATCAAGGAGTTTCACAACTCCAAAGAACCAATCAAGCATAAAACCCACACCCAAGGCCAGCAATGGTTCAGGTACCAGTTCAGCTAGCAAGGGAGGGTCAGCACCACAAGGGCCACCCAGGTCACCCACCAGCTGCTGGACATGCAGGAAGGACAGCCACCACCATTCCAAGTGCCCACAGGCAAGCAGATCAACACAAGTCCACAAACAAGAAGGTCAACACAATCCAGGGCAGCAAGCCATCACCCATCAAGATGAAGATGATGGGCTTATCCAGGGGAGAGTGGTCATGGGTATACATGGATGATCTCCTTATCTACAGCACCACTCTCAACAATCACCTCAAACACCTCAAGGAGACATTTCAGCAAATTCAGCAGCAAGGACTGTACATCAAGCTCACAAAGTGCAAGTTCACCCAGGCCAAGATGGAGTATCTCAGCCACATCATCAGCAACGATGGCATCCAGACCAACCCAAAGAAGATAAAGTCAGTGCACAAAGCAAGGCCACCAAAGAACCAACAGGAGCTACAGATCTTCCTCAGGTTGGCCTCCTACTATACGCATTTCATCAAGATCACACAGTGGATAACAAAGGTGCAGGAGTTCTTCCCACTGTGGATCACACACCAAGCCAGACAAATCCACACCAATGGCAACACTCTATCAAGAGAGCCAATCACCAGGAACAACATCAAGGAAGAGACACCAACAGTTGTGGCTGCTGTCCAGACTGACAAGTTCAAGCAGAACAAGAGCACTCTGCTGTCCAACCCCAATTTCAAGTGGATCATCAAGGCCATCAAGGGCAATGACCACGCCACAAGGGGTAAGACAACACAACAACTGGCTCTACTCAACCAAGTCATGATTGACATCTACCAGACCTACTGGCCAACAAAGAGCCAAGGGAAGTCAACAGACACATCCACACAGCTGCAATGGATCATGCCACAAGGGCTACAAACTGAGCTGTTGACACTCTACCACAACACACCAAGCAGAGGACATCTCAGAAGAGAGTGGGTGACCAACTTCCTGTGGAACAATATGGACAAGTGGGTCCAAGTCTGCCCTCAATGCCAGGCACACCAAGACGAAGCCAGGCCAACCTCAGGACCACTACAGCCAATTCAAACATCACAACCTTGGGAGAAGGTGGGATTGGACCTGATTGGTCCTCTGCCCAAGATGATGAGAGGCAACGTCTAATGCTCAGCCACAAATT